AGATTCTATTAGCAGAGACTATAATATTAAGCTCTCGCATAAAAGATTTTCATGATTTGTAATGTATTTTTTCTTGATATCGGTGAAACTTAGATCTGTGGTTTGCCCATTATTATTCACTAATTGTTATCTTCTGCTAAAATAAAAATAAATAAGATATAATATTAATAAGCAGCGTGACATGAAAATATTCTTTGTGTGTACTGCAATCTTACCTTAACTGTTATCATAATAATTCAGGCTTCCTTTAGGTTTAACAAACAGATGGATAAAGTGAAAAAAATTTATATGGTAATTGCACCATATTTATCCCATTACTTATACATGTTGCACACTATGCATTATTTTAGAAAAGGTCCCATTAAAAATAGAAAAAAATTGATTAAAAAATTATTAAACTTACGTTACATACTCTTTATTACCTACAAACTATAACTATGAAAATATAACAATACTCACTTTAAATTAAATGTGTTCTATACATTCTATAGTATAAGTTCCACCGAATATCAGTAAGAAATCCATTACAAAGCATGAGAATCTTTTATGCGAAAGCTTATTTTACAGTCTCCGCTATTGGAAGCTTATGTTCTGTGATAAAATGGTCAACGCTTCTTCATTAGCTTGCAGTGTCTGTTAAAGCAATAATGATTTCATATATTTGACAAGTTAGAAGATTGAGTAGCATTTATATTGCTATTCAGTTACTGAATATATCAGTGAAGCCTGTTCTTTAGCATGACATACCCAAATGCAGCATGTTGTATATTATCTATATCACAAAAGAAAATTTTTATATTTTATTTTTAACCGCTTCACACACACACGCACAATAATTATTTATATATAAATATTTGAATTATCTATGTAATTAATAATATATTCCAACAAGTACTCATTAATATTTGCTTACTTTCTGAGTGGCTGTAAATGTAAACTAATTATATATTGATACATTTTATACACAAAATGAATTTGAAAAATTATAATAAATTTAAAAAAAATTGCCAAAAGTCACATTTTGCTACTTCTGAAACCTAATTATTTAAAATTCCTCAACATTTATTCAAATTCTATTAGAATGTAGTAAAACAAAAAAATTATAATTCTTAAACTAAAACATAATACAGTTTGAAATGGGTTGGCATATTGTATAATACAAGGATCATCGTGCGCTGCATATTGGAGACAGCATAAAAAGAGATATATCTTTGACAGTCAAAATATGAATATATAGAATAAGAGACTTACAATTGCATACAATGTATCTAGATCTGAATGAAATATCTATGCATTAGTGCATTGCAAGCACTACATCTTTATACTACTAAAGTTATAAGTTCAGTGATATAGATAATTCGATGCATATGACATATAACTCCTTAAAAGATTGATATAAGTTATATACACACATTAACTAAATTGAAAAATACATGTCTTTATTTTTTGAACATGATATAACAATAAAAGCAGATTATATCTTTAATGAATATAATTAAACGTATCATATTTTTTAGTATAAGCTATAAAAAATAAATGCTTAGTATTGAAAGATAAATATATATGTATTGTCAATGAATAACGAAATCTCAAAATCTTTTTAATTTAAAAATTTACATCTTCATGTCCTTTTTGTTTTTCCTTTGCTTAATCTGTAAACAATAAATATTTTTTTATATGTATATGTATATATGTATGTATCTTCGTTAAACATATGTATAAATTTATATCTTTCTGTAATTATTATAAAATAAAAAATGTATAGATCTGAAAAATTGAAATTTAGCCAATGTAGAATATATGTCAATGAAATTGCATTTCTATTTTAATGTATTTTTGTAGATTTTAGATATATTGTATTTAAAATATAACTTTTTTCCAAAATATGTCTTAAACCAAAAAGGAGGATCTGTCTGTAACTCTTTGAATTCTAAACATAATTAGAAAGAAATAAGTAATAAATAATTAGAAAGAAATTAATAAAGTCAGATTTCTTAAAACTTTGATTTCTATATGTATACATTTCACAGATTATATTGGCTAAATTTATTTCAATTTTAAAGAGCAATTAGAAACATTTGTTTCAAAATACATACATAACACAAACTTTACTGCCCACTGTTGGCATTGATTACATTTTAAAAGAGGAAGCAGTCCTTCTATTGTTAGTGGAAGACGTTTAATGCAATAGGCACAATATGCATGTCCACATCTTAAGGCATTGATCTTGTTTTCCACAAGTGGAACATAACATTTATTACATACTGGTGTGCTTTCTACAACTGAAAGATAACTTTGCTTAATTTATCTCGATATTTATATATATGTATGTAATAAATAGACAAATATATTATGTAGAAACTTACGATTTCTAACAGCTGTTCCACAGGCCAAACATGGAAATAAACATTTGCCCAACATATTTAATGTACAGGTCGTAACTTTCAAATCTTCGGAATAAGTTTCCCTTAATACATATGCTAATCGTTTCATTTCTTTATAAACAGTTTCCCGAAATGGACGTATATTTAGATTAATTTCAACGACTTCATCGTTCGTAAGAAATACTTTTTTACATAAATTTTCTTCATCACTAGTACACCTTTCTACTTCATATCGCATTTTGCATGGATTTCTTCGACATACACGAAGCATATAATCACGACAAATCATGTTAAAAATATAAAACGCAAAATAGAGTAAATAAAAATAAATTAGCAAATGGCTAAATAAAAAACGACAAAAGCAAAAACAACACGAGCGAATTAAACCACACAAATAGAGTATAGCGTTTTTGAATGAAGGAAGTTTAATCGATCTGAGAGCGATCAATAGGTGCGTTCAGAATACACAACAGTTGAGCAACGTTACTAGATTAAGCTATATTTATATCGCTATTTAATATATAAAATCTAGTAATGTTGCTCAACTGTTGTGTGTTCTGAACACACCCAATGACGTCATTGACCAATCACAACCATTTATTCTTCAAAGAAATGGTTGTGATTGGTCATTGATCGCTTTCGGATCGATCAAACCTGCTTCATTGACTATGGGCTCCTGCAACGCGTGCCGCGCGGCGGAAGCCGACGCGATAGCCAATGGTAAAAATTGGATCGAATCAACTTTTGACGCGCGGTAGAAGTTATGTATCTATTATTTCCGAAAACGCGGCAGTCTGGGTATCGATTCTGTAACTTTTTTTAAAGTGAAAATGTGAAAAGTGAAAAATTCTCGCCAATCACGCAGTGATTTTAAAATGAAATCGATGTGCAATTGGTGGAAATTTTTCATTTTTCACGTTTTCACTTTAGAAAAAGTTACAGAATCGATACCCTGATTGGCTATCGCGTTGGCTTCTGCCGCGTGGCAAGCGTTGCCGCGTTCTGTGTGCAGAAGCTCTATGTTTCCACTAGAGTCCTATAATAGGATCTAGTTTTCACCGAGAGTCCGAATCGAGTCAGAGTCAAAGATTTGTTCGCGTCACATGCCCCAACATGATCCTTTTCACTCCAATGCGATCCTATTGGAGCTTTTATCTAAATTATCCAATAGGATCGCATTGGAGTGAAAAGAAGCATGTTGGGCCCCAACATGCACAAGAGTGGCTTTTTACAACTAAAACATACTTGTAATTATTAATTATAATTATTATTAATTAATAATCATTTTTAATTAAATTTTTAAATTTAAGTAAATTATTTATATGTAAACTTAAATATATTTATAATTAATAAATTACTTTATATTTGAAATATATTTTTTTTATTAATATTGATTTATAATATTAAATTAATATAATATTATATATTTCTTATATTTTATATTTTATTTTTCTCGCATTTTGGATCGCATATGACAATACGACTCGCCGTCAGTGACGGCCCGTCGCCAGTATTTCAGAGTCTGAAATCCAGATTAGAAATTCGCTCGAAATTCTTAATTATATTTAGAATTTTGAAGTCGTCACGTATCCCTCTAATACCCCCATCCGGCGGCTGGATTCCGGGACCGTTCTGAACGGCCCGGCGGTGGGGATCGTGACGTGACATACAGAGGGTTCTCCGATCGTACTGACTGCAAATGTGGCTGGTCCGTCTGCAAATATGCAGCACTGGGTCAAAGTCGAGTTGGGGCACAGAGCTTATACTAATGGAGAGGTCGTAGCGCGCGCGAAAAAGATCGAATAAGAGAGAAAAAAATATTAATATTTCTGTATTAAGGGGATGCCGGAGTGACGGCCGAACTTTGATAGGTTAGCACCACACATATCCAAACATATACACGTATACACATATACACACGATAGGTTAGTACCACACATATCCACACATATGCACGTATACGCATATACACACACACATATGCGTGAAAATGTTTTTAATATATAACTTTTTTATTAGACTTGCAATCTCACTTTTTATTGTTTATTAATATTTCTTCATGTTAACCCTATCGCGTATACTATATTTTATGCACAGATAAACTGCAGAACTATTTTTATTAAATAAGTATTGTTACGAACTGACATGAAAGAAGCCGATAACAAAACTGTAATTTTTGATTTTTATATGATTTATATATGGAATTATAGCTAACGCGGTCCATTTTTATAAGTACTTTAATCGTGGAAAAGGATTTATTGATTCGCATAGTCAATAAAAAGATATCCCAAAATAATCTCTATATATTCGCATTCGGTCGGTAAAAACGTACCTCCGGCATCCCCTTAATAATAGACCGTCAATCACCGTCAAACGATTCTACATCAATTTATGTAAAAAAATTTTAAATATTATGGGGTGCTAACTGAAAAAAGTAGCAAAATTTGTTTATAATTAAACTAATTACCGTCAAACGTTTATAATGGACCATCATTGATCATCAAACGACCATCAAACGATTGCATTCAAAAGAAATCGAATCGGTTGTAAATGGGGTGCTAACTATATGAAGCCGATTTTACGATGAATGTAAACCCGGCTTAAGAACGAACTACGAATACCGGCCTTAGGTGTCATACATAGTATATACGTTGTATCTAGTATAACTTTCAGTTAATACCATATATCATTGCTGTTGTCGTTTATATTATTCTATTATCATTTTATCTTGCTAGTGTCGTTTTATCTTGCTATTGTCATTTTATAAGAAAAATCTTTATTGTCGTTTGTTGTCATTTGTTATTACCGTTTTATAAGAAACAGATGTCTTATTACGGTTCAAGGTAAGAAATATCTAAATATCTTACCATTCAGCAAATTTTTAAATATTTTACGAATCTTTCTTATCATTTTTATTATATAATTAAACAATTTTACAATTATACAATTCTTTTTCTCTTTTTGATTATACTTCTTTACAATTATATAATTTTTTAAAATTATATTTCACTGTGAAAAATGCTTTTTGTTTCAGGAAGTCAATTGTTAAAGATTGCTTAAATTTTACAAATAATTGTTGTTTTGATCCAGATTGCAGGCTTTTACATAGATACAAATACTGCTTTCAATATCAGAATACCACATGTCGCAATAAAAGATGTCAATTTTTACATTGTACCAGCGTGGAACAACTTCGCTATGAACAAACAGGAATAATGACTGAGAATATGAAAAGAGAAGTCGGCCGAACTCCACAACATACTAATATATGTGGGGATTTTAAAATTAAAACTTGCAACAGACCAAAGTGTAAATTGCGGCATATCAAAGTACAAGATTTAAAGCCAATGACATGTGTCATATGTACAAATGATATAAGTGTTACAAATTTTGGTGCTGGAGATTGCGGACACATATTATGCTTAAATTGTGCTGTACGAACCTCACAGGATGTGGATGGACCAGCATTAAAAATATTATGTCCAATATGTAGATGTGAAAATGAATATAAAAAACTATATTAAATATTCTTAATACCTTTATAAAAATACTATGCGGAAATTTATGCGGAAGTCTTTCTTGATAATATTTCAAAATAAATAAATATTAAATATATTAAATTAAAGATAAATATATAATTTATGGAAGATAACCTCGACCGTGATATACATGTTTTATAGGATCATGAATTACCTGAATTACCTTAAAAAGAGAGTTAACTATTACTAATTATTTATTAAAAAGTTAAAAAATATGTTATTGTTTTTGTTATATTTTATGTAGTACTTTGTTTTTTATTCACTTGCTATTATAATTTTATAAGAAAGGATGTCTTACTACAAGATGGATTACAATTACATTTTTGTTTTATAATTGTACAATTCTTTTCTTGATTAGATATGTCACAATAAAAAATGCTTTTTAGAAGACCAATTATTCAAGATTGCATTACAGTTAGATACATATAATTGTTGTCTTAATCCGGATTGTGGTTTCCTATAATAGCCTGTGTAATATCTTATTACATTTCCTATAATCTATAAATAATGTATTTTGTTTTCTTGTTAAAAATATAAATACACATATAATTTATAAATTTATTCTTGTTCTAATTATATGTATTAAAGTAAATAATGTATCTGCATAATTCTGAAAAAATTGAAATTATTTTGTCCAATGCAAAATGTATGCAAATGATATTGTGTTTCTATTTTAATGTAATTTCTATATTTCATAATATTTTATGATAATTTTTCACGTGGAAAAGAAAAAGAAGAGAAAGGAACGGTGTATAAATTTAGCTAAACAGAACAGATTTACTAATAGGATATTTCATGATAAATATTCTACTAGTGTGTTTATCATACAATATAAATCAGAAATATAAAATATAGAAATTACATTAAAATTAAAACACAATATTATTCGCATATATTTGCATTGAATCAACTAATTTCAATTTTTCAAAATTATGTAGATACATTTTTTATTTTAATATAATTAAAATAGGAATATAAATTTATATATTATATGTACATTTATGTTTTTAACAAAAAAACGAAACATTCATATTTACAGATTAGGATTATGAATATTGGCCTTTCTCTGCTAAATGTAGTTACATGACGTAATTGCGCCTGCGTATAAAAGGTCTGTTCTTTTCAGCTGAACTGGCTGCAGTAGTTTAGAGGTTGTCTTTTTCCTTCCAATGTTGAGCAAAAGACATCCTCTGAACTAGTGCAGCCAGTTCAGCTGAAAAGAACAGACCTAAAGTCTAATGGCTTCTGCACACAGGACGCGGAAATGCTTGCCGCGCGACAAGAAGCGACGCGATAGCTAATAAACCTACAGCTCTTATTAAAAAGGTATGTTGATTAGTTACCGCGTCGCTTCTTGCCGCGCGGCAAGCATTTCCATGTCCTGTGTGCAGGAGCCATTACTCTCTGCATACCAATGTTTGAAAAAGGTATGAAAAGTGCGGAAACCATTACTATTACCCCTGGTCCACAATAGGTGATTTAAGCTCTAAGCTTTAAGAAATTGATCAATCACAGTTAGGTATTAGGAGAATACTCGACTATAGATTTGTTCGCGTCACATGCCCCAACATGCTCCTTTTCACTCCAATGCGATCCTATTGGATAATTTGGATAAAAGCTCCAATAGGATCGCATTGGAGTGAAAAGGAGCATGTTGGGGCATGTGACGCGAACAAATCTATAGTCGAGTATTCTCCTAATACCTAACTGTGATTGATCAATTTCTTAAAGCTTAGAGCTCCTTTTCACTCCAATGCGATCCTATTGGATAATTTGGATAAAAGCTCCAATAGGATCGCATTGGAGTGAAAAGGAGCATGTTGGGGTATGTGACGCGAACAAACCTTAAGATTGGTCAATTTCTTAAAACTTAGGGTTTAAATCACCTATTGTGGACCAGGGGTTAGAATTTTATATTTAATTTTTTATATTTAAGATCGTTTTAAGGTCGGGTTCACCGATAGGTGATTTAAACCCTAAGGCTGGCTTCACATGGAGCGTAACTTGCACCGACCAATCACATTATCTCATTTGCAGCTGATACTCAAATGAGACGATGTGATTGGTCGCCGCAAGTTACGCTTTACGCAAGTTACGCCTCATGTGACGGCACCCTAAGGTTGGAGTCCCATGGAGCAGATTGTGCGGAAGCGGAATTAGCGGATTACCAATCACGAGATTGTTCTGATGTAACCTTTTCAAAGATTACGTCGAAGCAGTTCTGTGATTGGTGATCCGCTAATTCCATTTCCGTGCAATCCACTCTATGGGACTTCAGCCTAAGCTTTAAGGCCATTGCACGTAAAAAAGTTTTAGTTATAACCGTAGGATTTGACCAATCGCGTTGTTTGATTCTTACTGCTACGGTTATGGATGGCCGAATCGAGCAACGTAATAGGTTGAATCTTACGGTTACGACTAAAACTTTTTACGTGCAATGGTTTTAAGGCAGCGCGAGTAACCTCACCGAAAAGAAATACGTCACTGTTTAAAACTTAGGTTGCGTTCCAAAACGTCCTCTTCGAGGAAAATTTTACTTAAAAAGCTATAGTGTACGTTACGTGCATTATAAATTTTCAGTGGAATTTTCCTCGAAGAGGACGTTTTGGAACGCAGCCTTAAATGATAAGGCTTAGGGCTTATATCACTTATTGTATGCCGGGACTTAGGCCTAAATTCATAGTCCGATCTTATATTTAAGATCGTCTTAAGTCCGAGCTTAAGACGCCACGGAGCCATTTGATTGGTTGAACAGAATCTTAAGTCAACCACCGACCAGATTTAAGACGATCTTGAATATAAGATCGGACTATGAATACCGGTCTATGAATATCGGTCATATGGCTCCTGCTCACAGGACGCGGAAATGCTTGGCGCGCGGCAAAAGCGACGCGGTAGCCAATAAATTACAGCTCTTAAGGTGCCTTTTTATACTGACGTTAGACGGTAAATTTCAGCGTCAAAAGACGCCATGTGATCAAAATTGACGAATTGGTATCTTTATTTTTGGTCACGTGACGTTTTTGACGCTGAAAATGAGCATCGAGCGTCTCCATGAATTTGCACCTTTAAGGCGCAATTTCACGTGCCGCTAAAACAAGCGATGCACTGTGATCACAGATTAGTTGATAGTGTCGTGTATACTGAAGAAAACATAATGTGTTGATGACATGCGAAAATAATTAATAAATCTTGCACTTTCTGATCTTATATATGGTAAGGTAACTTTATAAAAGCCATGCTCGTTACGATTTTGAAACAGCAGTGCAAAACTTTTTTTTAGAATATCTTTTTTGAGTTTGATTTGTCAACAGCAAACTAATAGCAAAAATAATATCATTGTTATATTTGATTTCACTTTCTCGAATCATGTACGATTACAATTTAGTAGCCAATTGTTATATTTTTGTTTTCTAGAAGCCATTGCGTAATATACAAATTAATATAACTGGTTATACACAAATAATGCAAATTTTGTTTTTAACTGATTACACAAACGACGCAAAATTTGTCTCTCAACTTTCAATTCTGTCGCGCTACTATCCTTTTCATGTCAAAAATTATCGCTGTTTAGTTTAGCGACAAAAGTTGTCACGTGATCATTTTTGTCGCTCAAACAATCGGTTTCAGCGGCTCGTGAAAAGGCACCTTTATTAAAAAGTGGTACGTTGATTGGCTACCGCGTCGCTTCTTGCCGCGTAGCAAGCATTCCGCGTCCTTTGTGCAGCCATTACTCGCTACCATAGAAACTCGATACCAAAAAAAGCGCGAAAGCCATTACCGTTAGAATTATTACGTCTTACTTTGATGGTCGTTTATTTTGCTATTGTTAATTTGTCGTTTAATTTGCTATTGTTGTTTTGCTACTGTTGTTTTAATTAGACAAACGAAATACTAATATTAAAATTAATTGATGCAAAAATCAAAATGTATTATCTATTATGTACCAACAAATATTATAGTGTCTACAACATAAAACAGCTAAAGACAAAAAAGATTAAAAAATCATGCATTATTGCAACCAACAGTAAGTACAATAAAATATAAATTCATATACTTTAAAATAAAGAAAATATCTAGAACATTCAAATTCTAATATGATTTATTTGTATGATTCATTTTTTGTAATAAAAGTGCAAAGTATTATAATTTTATGAGCAATTATGTATTTAAAGTTCGATTGTTATTTTAGAAAAAAAATTCAGCTTGCAAAAGATTGCAGATAATCTAAACAAGAAGATTCCAAAAGTGAAGTTAACAACTTTATCAGGTATTATTATATATATGTTCAATTAATGTATAATTGTTATGTTAAATCTTTAACATAATACAATTATGTTCATGAAAAATGGTTTAAAGTTTTATAATTAGTACATAAAGTTTACTTATAAAATTATATTTACTTTATCTTCATAAATTTGTTTTAAAGATTTTCAACCAACTGCCAATTCCAATGCTACGTTAAATGTTGATACATCAAATGTGACATGAAATCAAAGAAAGCACTTGCCTTCCGTCAAGCAGTAACTGTGATACTGAACAATGCAATATAAAGTCTAATTTTAATTTGATAAGTTGTGATAATACAAATGACAGTGATAATATTAAAGATTCTGCGCATTTGACTGCAGATGCTCCTTGTATCGATGAGAATCTTAATACATTAGTTGTTAGTAACAATATTGAGAAAAGCGGTGAGTCTATGATATACATATAATCAATCAAATTTTAATACATTATACAGCAGACATTCTAGATACAGTCTTTCTACGTATTTTGTCTGACAACACATTAACAGCTTTTGCAACATCATCAGTTGCTTGCAATAAAATGTCTCTACCCTATTTTTTATCTTATTTCACAGATTCTCCAACAACTGTCAATTCCAATGCTATTTTAAATGTTGATGCATCATATGTGACATTTGAAATCGAAGAAGGCACTTGCGTTCCATCAAGCAGTAACTGTGATACTGAACAGTGCAATATAAAGTCTGATTTTAATTTGATAAGTTGTGATAATACAAATGACAGTGATAATATTGAAGATTCTGCGCATTTGACTGTAGATCCTCCTTGTATCGATGAAAATTTTAATACATTAATTGTTAGTAACACTATTGAGATAAGCGGTAAGTGTATAACGTATACTTAATCAGATTACAAAACATTATGCGGAGCATGTTCTAATATTTATTGCCAGTACTGAAAATCTATAATATACATAAACTATAGATTTTCAGTACTGACTGTGTATATCGAATATGCCCACAGTGATCATTCTATATGCAGTTTTATTTACATATTTTGCGTTACAATACATTACAGCTTTTGCAACATCAGTTACTTGCAATAAAAGTTCTCTACTTTATTTTCATAAATTTTGTTTACAGATTCTTTGCCAGCTATTAATTCTAATGCTACGTTCAGTATTGATACAGCAAATGTGAATTACGATATCGAAAATGTTTCGACAATAACTAAGATTTCGGATGTTAAACAGAGCGTTCAATGTTGTAATAAATTTTATTCTACTTCTAAAATATGTGAAAATGCGAATGTTATTGAGAAATTTAGAAAAACTAAAAAACCTAAAAAAACTCCGAAGATTCTAGAAATACAAAATGTTAAGATATTACTAAAGAAGATTCCAGTGCACACAGAGAAAGTTGATAATATTACAAATAGTATACAGATGAATAATACGTATAATATCGATAATAGTGATGTTTCTTCAAATGCAAACGGGACTTACGTTATCGATAATATTTCAAGTGAAACATCTTGTCCAGTTGCAGAATCTACACTCATAGAGAATCAGTTAGACTTAGAGTGTGAAATCCATAATAATAATTCTGAGTCTGATGATACATCCATTACATCTAAAAATAATTTAGATAGTAGTTTTCATTTGTCAGATTGTTCTAAGCTTGAAGACACAGATGAAGATGAAGATGAAAATGAAACTAAAAATACACATGAACGTACGATTAATACAAGTAAAAATAAATCTGTGAACAGGACATTAAATTTGACATCAACATTTTCATCTGAAGTATGTGATGATAGAAATATGTATGTGGAAACTTCCAATAATCCTAAATTAAAACAAAATATGTGCGTATATTGTGAAAAATTTCAAGCGCAAATTGCAAGACATTTAGAAACAGTACATAAAGAAGAAGAAGATGTGAAAAAGTTTCGTCTTTTACCTAAGGGTAAGTTGTATGTTATATACAAAGTTGCCAATACTATTTAGAATATCTAAAAGTTAATTGAAATCGAAGTTCCTAATGTGAAAATGTCAAAGAAAATCATTTATCATAGCTTTTCAAATTTTAATACTTTATATATTTAAAATTATACTTTTTAAAGTAAATATCTATTCAAGTTAATCACTCAAAATTTTAAAAATAGAATTTTGTTATCTATATTCGGCTAATTACATTCAAAAACGTTTTCTTGTTTAATCGCTCATAACTTGAAAACTGTGAATGCATCATCTTTCTTATTAACACATTTCCATATATAACTTGTACATATACTACTAAAGTATATGTATAACTTCATTTTAAACAATAGTCTTTAAATTTAAAAAAATATATAAAAAATTTTGCCAACTATAATATTTGATCAAATAATTTCTGATACTTTTCAAATATTAATAATTTATTGTGTGTATATTATGTGTAAAATTTTTAATAATTTACTTTTAATTTAATCATAATTTATTATACATTTTGTACTTACTATTTCAGGTAATCCGGAACGAAAGAAGATTATTGGTCTACTTAGACAAAAAGGAAATTTCATATATAATACTAATTCTAACTTAAATAAAGGAGATTTAATTGTATGCCGGCGTCTAAGAAATGAATTGAATAGACAAGCAGCCGATTTTATTCCTTGTGCTAAATGCAAAGGGTTTTTTTCTAAAAATAATATAAGACATCATTTTGCATCATGTGCGCCAAAAAGGGAATATCCTCAAAGAAATGTTAAAATATTGGGACGTACTGTGGCTTGTCGAATTCATTACAGTGCAAATACACCATTAAGAAGATTGGTGTTCCCAGTAATGAGGGAAGACAGCGTAACTCAAATTATTAGATATGATGAACTGCTAATTGCTTTTGGTAATAAAATGTGTCAGAAGTATCGTCTCCAACATCAGCACGATATGATTAGAGCGCGACTGAGATTACTTGGACGATTTCTTATTGTTTTGAGAGATCTCGATAATAGTATAGTAGATTTCTCTTCAATATATAATCCAACAAATTATGAACAATGCATTAAAGCTGTAAATAAACTTGCACAATTCGATGAAAAGACTTGGACATATAAAATACCATCTATTGCAACATCTTTAGGAACACTTATAAAACAAATTGGGAAACTTTTAAGAAGTATATGCATTAAGAAACAAGATTGTAGCAAACAAACTGTGGTAGAAAATTTTTTGAAATTATTTGAAGAGGATTATCCTGTTGCTGTAAATAAAATTGTGTTTGAAACTCAAGGGCATCGAAAAAGGCAAAAGAATATTGTCTTGCCATCTATAGATGATATAAAAATATTCAATGCTTATCTCAAAGCTGAACGCATAAAAGCTCTAGAATCTTTACAAACAAATGGTTTCTCAATTCACGCATGGCGTATGTTAACTGAAATAACATTAATATCGATTATGATATTTAATAGAAGACGTGCTGGTGAACTGGAGCGTGTTTTAATTGAAAATTTGGAAAATTGTGCGGCAATTTCAAAAGAAGAAGCACCTGAATTATATAAATCTTTATCTAAATATGTACGGATGACAATACGCGGCAAATTAGGGAGAACGGTTCCTGTGTTACTCCATGAAGAAATATTAAAATGTATGCAAATGATTATTAATTATCGTAAAGATGCTGGCGTACCCGAAAATAATCCTTATATTTTTGGTATATATTCACTCGACAAAAGAAGATTCAAATATTTGAGAGCATGTGTATTAATGCGAAAATATTCTGTAATTTCTGGGGCAAAAATGCCAACTTCGTTACGAGGTACAATATTGCGGAAACATATTGCTACAGTATGTATGTCATTAGATATATCTGAACATGAAGTGAATAATCTAGCTGATTTCATGGGCCATCACGAAAAAATACATAAATCGCACTACAGACAGTCAATCGTAACAAAAGATTTGGCTATATCACGTTTACTCAAATACGCACAAGGAGGAGACACAACAGATGAAAGTGATAATGTTGATGATGAAAATGAAAACAGGGATGATTCGATTAATAATGATAACTCAAATTTAAGTTTAAATACTTCTGATACTTTATCATTAATACAAACGAGATCATCTAAACTGCCACGTTTACTCAAATACGCACAAGGAGGAGACACAACAGATGAAAGTGATAATGTTGATGATGAAAATGAAAACGGGGATGATTCGATTAATAATGATAACTCAGATTTAAGTTTAAATACGTCTGATACTTTATCATTAATACAAACGAGATCATCTAAATTGCCTAGCAAAGAAAAAATTATCAATAATCATCTACATAATAATATCGAGAAAACAAAAGGTACGTGGTGGTTTGAATAATATCTATATCAAATAGTACACGTACTGTGCTCGTTGTTTTAACAGTTCTTACAATAAATATATAAGACAACTTTAGAAAAATACTGTTTAAAATAATTATTAAATATTAGATATAAGAAAAAGAAAATTTGTATTATTTTTTTCTATATATACATAACAATTATGCAAAAAAAATACTTTTTAATTTTCCAAAATTATTTGCATTTTTTAAATAACATTTTTTAATTCTTTCTCTTATCATTTAGTAATTATCTCAAACAGCATTCATTTAGAGACATATTCTATATAAACATTAGATACTACATATTATATACTATACTAAATTCTATATAAACATATATATATATTATATTAATTTTGTCATTATTTTAGGAAACCGTTTGGCTTCTAAGAGGAAAGTTAATTATAATATTAAAAATGTGACCGAATCAGATGATGAATGTAATACAGAATCAGATTTAAATATTTTATCAAAAAGAGCAAAGCAATCTGAACAGGTGACTAGAGGAAAGAATAACGTAAATAATAATACACAGAGGCAGAAAAAAAGAATGAGTAAGTTTAAATAATTTTTCGATTAAGTAATATATGTTGTTCTTTATTAAACAACATATTTCATAATAAATGTACTAAATTAATGTAATTTTATTATTATTTTAGCATCTGTTGTTGGTTCTACAAGAAATAGTACTCATAAGATCAGATGGACGGATGATGAACGCACAATAGTTTTATCTTCATTCCAACCTGCCATAAAAAATAAAAAATTGCCATCTCTTCGTGAAATTAACGAAATAAAAATTAAATATCCTGTATTAAAGGCCCGTACAAGTGCTCAGATAAAAAGTTGGTTACATAACCAAATAAGAAAAAATACTTAAAACTATTATCATTACAATGTGTCGTTAAAATTGCTCTTGTCGTATATTCTATTCTGCTATTGTTGTTTTCATAAAAAAAGATGTCCTATTACGGTTTGTACATGTTTTAAAATTATATAACTCTTCTGATTCTCCTCTAACCAAAGGAAAACAAGTTTTTATTTTAAAAAATTAATGGTTCAAAATTGTGCAACGTTATCTCTACGAATACGAGTACTGCTTTCAATATCAAAATATCAGATATTACAATGAAAGAATTATATTTTAACATTGCACCAATGTGATACATCTTTATTAAGATTCCGTACAAAAACAGTCTCTAAACATTCCTTTTATTGTAAGAATTATAATAGATTTAAAATTATTATATAGATTTAAGATTATTAAAGTGCTTATAATTATAAAATATAATAGACAAGATTATTTAAAAATACTTATATATATTAATAGTCAAGAAATTATTATTTTCTTAAAGATTGTTATTTTCTTAGAGATGTTTTATTATTTTGTATCCAAGATAGATTTTATATCCAAGTTAAACTTAAGAGTTATAATTTTTTTTAAGTTTTCTTATATATCATAAATATATCTTATTATGTGTAATTCCTCTAAACGTATATAATATTAAACATAGAATACATACAACTTTTGTTAAAGTATGGCGAACAAAATTCACTTAAGTACAATAAAGCACATTTATATTTGATATATATATATATATATATATATATATATATGATTTATGCAAATAAACATTTCATGGAGACCTAAAAAAAGATTTTATAATAATTTGATAAAGTGCAATGGAACGTATCAGCAATTAAGATAATTTTCAAATAAAGATATTGTATTTCAAATATATAATACAGATAACATGTTCAATCAAAAAACATGTAAATTATATATTTATTTAGACTAAACGTTAATAATAATTATAAAATTTTATTAACGTTTACAATATATTTGTGTAATATCATTCGTGCGTGTCGGTACATATTAAGGCGCGTCATTACGTGTAGATAGACGCGCATGGACATGTGTGCACTCATGCCAGCGCGTACACGTTTCAGTCAAATAAATTGAAAACATAAAGCCGTTTATAGTCATTGTCTATATGCCTCATAATGAACTTAAGACGATTTAACTGTGTATATCGGTAAATAGATACTTAAAATCTAATTTTAATGATGTGAAAGTATACGAAAATGCAAAAACTATGACGAAGTAATTAAAACAGCTAGAAGTCATCGAAATAGTTAATGTTCACGAAAAATCATTGTCAAAATCGATTTACATATATATATATATATCAATTAACACGGTGTAAAGGTTGTTTTAACGACAAATATATACAAAATATATGAAATATACATATGTCGTCAAAATTACCTTAATGTAACTATAAATTATATATTAATCGATCTGGTGTAAAGGTTGTTTTGAGGACAAATATATAAAATATACATATGTCGCCAAAACAATCTTTACACCGGGTCAATTAATATACAGTTTATAACTGTATTAAGGCATTTTTGCCGACCAGTCGTCAAAACAACCTTTATATCGTTACAATATGTAGATCTGGTCGTAAAAACTGCCTCTGTGCATTAAAAACTATATATTTTATATACACTGTCTTTGAAACTGCCTAACCATAAAAGAAGTAGTCAAAACTACCATTTTGTACTTTTCCACACATTATTAAAAAACTAGATGGAATTTTTTGAAACGGTTTGTTGCATGTTACTCTCTGGACATTTGCGCATATTTTCATATTGAATAAAAAAAATGTCGTCAAAATTGCCCCTAGACATATACAGGGTGTCCGGTAATGGTCGCCTCAACCGTCGTGTGCAGGTAGAGTAAGTTAAACCGAATAGGAAAGTCCTCTACCGTTTTGCGATTTTCGCAATAATTATTGTGTTATTAAATAAAAAAGATCGGCCAATCTAAGCGCGCGACGAGATGAGACGGCCCCCTGTCACACGATACACGGCGCGCGGCAAAGCGGAGGGAGGAGCGAACGCGATGGCTACGAACGGCGCGTAACGCTAAAGCTCCGCGACAACTATTTTCTCTCTTTCCCTTTTCATCTCACTTTCTTTTCTATAATATTTTTATTATAGTAAATATTAATCAAAAAAATTCTTATAAAATTCTTTCAATACCATTGTCCCACGATTACCATCATTTTTAGAGTAAATTTTAAGAAAAAATTTTCTCTGTGTAGTATTCGAATACATCCTATCAAAATTTTACGTTTTTTAAAATAATCAATAAATGATAATAATGAGAGAGGGAGAGAGAGAGAAAGAGAGAGTGAGTGAGTGAGTGAGGAACGTTATCATTTATGATAATAACGTTCCTCACTCTCTCTCTCTCTCTCTTTCTCTCTCTCTCTCTCTCTCTCTCTCTTTCGTTATTATCATTTATTGATTATTTTAAAAACGTAAATTTTGATAAAACGTATCCGAATACTACACATAAAAAATTTTCTCTTAAAATTTACCCTGAAAATCATGGTAATCGTGGGACAGTAAGGTACTGGAAGAATTTTATAAGAATTTTTCTGATTAATATTTACCACAATAAAAATATTAATATCTACCACAATAAAATAAAAAATGTACTCGATTAATTTTACTATGTTCATATTAATAATTTTTAATGTAGTAAATATTAATCAAAAAAACTCTTATAATATTTTTCCTACACCATATTATCCCACGATTACCATGATTTTCAGGATAAATTCTAATAAGAGAAAATTCTCTCCGTGTATGGTGTGATTTGCATCAGACTCTTATTTTGCTTTGTATGCATGTTAAATTTTAATGAGATACATCGTCGAAAATGATGTCAATGCGATTATTAATTTTTCAAAACTGTACTTTACAATAATTAATCAAGATGCCATTTTGAAAATAAAAAGATTTGTTTTTAGTAAAGAAAGTGAGATGAAAAGGGAAAGAGAGAAAATAGTTGTCGCGGAGCTTTAGCGTTACGCGCCGTTCGTAGCCATCGCGTTCGCTCCTCCCTCCGCTTTGCCGCGCGCCGTGTATCGTGTGACAGGGGACCGTCTCATCTCGTCGCGCGCTTAGATTGGCCGATCTTTTTTATTTAATAACACAATAATTATTGCGAAAATCGCAAAACGGTAGAGGACTTTCTTATTCGGTTTAACTTACTCTACCTGCACACGACGGTTGAGGCGACCATTACCGGACACCCTGTATATATAGTTATATATATATATATATATATATATATATATCATTCATTACTTTATTTTCCCCCTTAGCGATTAAAGGCGCTTTTAAGGAGCGTACCCAAACCTTACAATTCCTCTTACAATATTATCTTATAAACTACTCTTACATCTAACTTACAATTACCTTAATTCTAAACTTAAACTACCTATCTACTAATTAAGAGAGAGAAAGAGTCGTCCCTAAACTATTATCTCGTTTCGTCTCGGCTTCCAGTTCCTCCCATACCCCATTCTCCAACACCTCATTCATACTTCCACTTATTCACCTCCTCATATTTTTTTCCTCCTCTTCCCTTCCTTTCTCTTCCCCTTCCGTTCTCCCCTTCTCCCTCTTTTTTTCTAATTCCCCTCATCCATCCTTCCCCTTCTCCTCCTTCTTGCAGTATCTTCCTCATTCTTTCCCACCAATTTCCCTTATTCCCCTCTCCCCCACATTCTCCTATTACATGTTCCCATGTTTCATCTTCCATCCCACATAGTCTACATCTTCTTTTTCCCTCTTCTTCTCAGTATCTCGCCCTTCTCATTTCATTGTTCATTCTAAACCTCACTATCCTTCTCCATCTACTTTCTCCTCATCCCTTTCTCAAATATTCCAGTAAACCCTCCTCCTTCCATTCTTCATACCATCTATTATATCTCGACTCTCTTATCCTCTCCCATCTTTCCTTCTTTTGCATTTCTCTGTCTTTCTGCTTCCATCCCTCGTATACCTTCCTCTCTTCTTCCTCTTTTTTCCTCCATCTCCTTCTCTTCTATTCTCCTTTCTTCAAAAAATTTTGCCCTCTCTTCCTCCCAAACCGTTCTCTCCTTTCCTTCTCTTACCCTCTCTTTCATATCCTCATAGCATTTCCTCGCTAAACTTCCTCCCATTCCTTCCTCTAATTTTTCTCATACTCTACCGCTCTTCTTCCTGCCCTTATCCTAAATTTATTCTTTCCTATCTCTTCTCTTACCATATACCCCGGCGTACACCAGTCCACTCCTAACGTTCACCTAATCCATCTTTCCTGCATTGCCTCTACTTCTCTCCTCTCCTTCCACCCCCATATTTCCGCTCCATATTCCAACACCGTTCCCATCAACCTTTCCATTAGCCATACTCTTTTCATCCAGTCTTCTGCAAATCTTCTTTTCCCCATTCCCCACACCTGTCTTACCACCGCTCCTGCTTTCCTTACTCTGTCCTTTACCTATGCCTCCTGTCCCCCATTCTTTTGCAACTTATATCCTAAATACGTGAATTCTTTCACTTCCTCTAATCTTTTCCCTTTCCACCTCCACTCCATTTTCTTCATTCTTCCTTCTCCCTTTCTAAAACCTTATTACTTTTGTCTTATCCACGTTCACCTCTAACCTTTTTTATCCCATGTAATTTTCCATTTTCCCTAACATATGTACCATCCCTTCCTCATCCTCCGCCAACAGTACCATATCATCTGCATATGCCAAACAGTGTACTTTTTCCCCTCCCAGCTTCACCCCTCCCCAACCTCCTTTTCTCAGCACTTCCTCTACATCCGCTATCAACAAATTAAACAAGTGTGGGCTCATTAGGCAACCTTGCCTCACTCCCCTTTGCCGTCCAAAAGTTTTCTCCCTCCTCCTTCCCCACTCTTACCTTGCTCCTCGTCTCTTTGTACACCTCCTCTATCCTACTTCTTAATCCTTCTCTTATCCTTCTATTTCTCATTGCCTCCATTAACACCTCCCTATCTACTAACAATAAGTCAAACGCCGCCTTCAGATCTATGAAGGCCGCTACTACCTTACCTCCCTTCTTACTCACTTTTTTATTCACCAGGTAGTTTAGCACATATATACTGTCTATCACCCCCATTTCCTTCCTAAAACCTGTTTGACTCTCCGGTTTATCATATTCTCCTTCTCCATTTCCTCCTTTAACCTTTCTGTTAGAATCCCTACGTGTACCTTATATAACGTTGGCATCAATGTCACCCCTCTGTAATTTTCCACCCTACTCCCCGTTCCCTTTTTAACAGTAGCACTATTATCCTCTCTTTCCATCTCTCCGGCCATCCTTCCCCTCTCCAGACTCTGTTGCACATTTTCCATACCCATTTCTCTACCCTCTCCCCTCCATATTTCCAT